ACCGAATCTGGTAAAAATGCTGAAGTTAATTTATTACTTTTGGTCAAATGTCCCAAATTTAAAACAGGAATCCTTTTCTGACTTGTCTTCTTATTTATTATGATTTTTATTTTTATTTATTTCACTTAATTATGTGTTTTTGTTTTTGTCTTGTTTCTTTTACAGAATCTTGTGCTTATATACGTATATACTTGATATGAAACACACAGAATAACATTAATGACATATTCCTCACACTGACTCCTGCTCCGTGTTCTGTGCCGTCCAGGTGAAGCCTCTGCTGCAGGTGACCCGGCAGGACGAGGAGATCCAGGTGAGGGAGGCCGAGCTGCAGAAGGCCAAAGACAAACTGACCCGAGCAGAGCAGGACTTCTCGGACCTGGACCGGAAGCACGCTCAGGTAAATGCACCTGTTCTGCCGGCTCCACCCGCCCCGAAGCCTCCGTTACCACCAACTCACCGCTCTTCCTCCCGCAGCTGATCGAGGAGAAGGCGGTTCTGGCCGACCAGCTGCAGGCCGAGGCCGAGCTGTTCGCCGAGGCAGAGGAGATGAGGGCCAGGCTGGCCAGCAGGAAGCAGGAGCTGGAGGAGGTGCTGGGGGAGCTGGAGAGTCGGCTGGAGGAGGAGGAGGAGAGGGGCGTCCAGCTGACCAACGAGAAGAAGAGGATGCAGCAGAACATACAGGTGAGGACGGGTTGTGTTCATTCAGCCAATCACAGCTGACAGGAAGCGAAGGACGCAGCTTCAGTGTTCCCTCAAAATAGTTTAATCCACAGTAAGAAAAAGTTGTCAAAGATCATTTAAAAAAATGTCCAGAATGACTCAAAATTCATCTAAAATGACAAAAAGGTGTCACAGACGACTCCAAACCTTTGTAATATCACTTCATATTCACACAAAATGTCGGGAAATATGTCAAAAATTATTCAAAACTTTCCAAAATTACTCAAAATGTGTCCAAAATCGCTCTAGAAGGTGTCCAAGAGGACTCAAAACCTTCCAAGATTACCTAGAATGACTCAAAATGTGTCAAAAATGATTAAAAATGTCTCCAAAATATCTCCTAAAAGACTTAAAATCCATCCAAAATCACTCAAAACTTTCCAAAAGGACTCAATTGGTCTAACATGATGAGAAGGTGTCCAAGATTACCTAAAACTCATCAAAAATATGTAAAAAATGATTCAAAATGTGTCCAAAATATGTCTAATTACTCCAAATTCACCAAAAATGAATCAAAATTGCTCTGAAATTATTAAAAACTTTTCATAATTATTCAAAAGGTGTCCAAAATGACTCAAAACCTGCCAAGATGAACTAAAACTTTGTTTAATTGTCTCCAGAATATGTCCTAACTGACTCAAAATCCATCCAGAATCACTCAAAGTTTGTTCAAAATGATGAAAATGTGTCCACGATGACCTATAATTAATCCAAAATTACTCAAAACTTTCCAAAATGATTATAATGTGTTTAAAATGTTTCCTTAATTTCTCCAAATTCACCAAATGTGCCTCAAAATTTGTCCAGAATGATGAAAAACTTTCCATAATTATTCAAAATGAGTCCAAAGTGACTTAATTGTACTAGAACAACAAAAATGCATCACAGATGATTAAAATATCAACAAAATGACTAATTAGTTAATAACAGTGTGTCCAGGATGTAATGTATGATAATGATCCTAAATGCATCAATCAGACAGAAACATGTGTAAAGTGACCGTTTGTCCAACACATGGTTCTGGCTGATGTTTCTCAGACGACTCGTATCGTGCAGTAGAACCGATCCACTCGGGTCTTTCTGTAGATCCATAAACTCATTTTTAATGTCAAGTGTCTCGTTCCTGCCTCCAAAACACGTCCTCCGTCGCTGTTTAGCAGAAACCCGTCGCTGCATCCTTCAGCTGGCGTCACTCAGGACGAAACACGAACAACCACAGAGTTTGTCTTTAAACTGGAAGGCAGCAGATCGCTCTGCAGCTCTACAACAGAAACGCTGTGGAGTTCAGTCTGGTTGTACTTGATGGCTGTAATGTCCTGTTTGTGACTTGTTCAGGACCTGGAGGAGCAGCTGGAGGAGGAGGAAAGCGCTCGGCAGCGCCTCCTGCTGGAGAAGGTGACTCTGGAGACCAAAGCCAAGAGTCTGGAGACGGACCTGCTGACTGCCGTGGAGCAGAGAGACCGGCTCAGCAAGGTGAAGCTAGAACCCTGACGTACACCCGATGAACAGCACATCTACACACAGGTGGTGTTCATCAGTGAGCGTACTGACCTGGTTTCCTCTGAGCAGGAGAAGAAGCTGCTGGAGGAGCGTCTCAGCGAAGTGACCGACCAGCTGACGGAGGAGGAGGAGAAGACCAAGAGTCTGAACAAGCTCAAGAACAAACAGGAAGCCGTCATCGCCGACCTCGAGGGTAAGACCGGCTGCACGAGTAATCAGATTACAGCCGCCATCAGCTAGTCGAGGTCAGGTGTGAGATTGATGAACCATCATCCTTCAGACAGCTCTCAGGTGAACTGATGAACTCTCAGCATAAACAGCTGCTTTAATCCACATCACATGATTTGTGTGAATCGCACAGAACCAGTTCGGGTTTAAAATGTTGGATCTACAAGTCAAAATATCAAAAAAAAAAAAAAGATTATCAGAATAATCGGAATCAGAAAGTCTGTGTTGTCGTTGTAAGCTCAGCGTACAATAAGAGTAGGAGTGCTGTTCTGGAAAGTTAAAACACAAAACTGAAAAAACAGTTAAATGGTGTGCAAAGTAGCTCAGAACGAATCCAAAATCATTCAGAATTTATCCAGAACTACTTGTAATGAATCCAGAATCCAAAATTACTCATAATGTGTCTAAAACAACTCAAAACCTTTTTAAAATTAATCAAAATTCAGCCAAACTGACTTAAATGTTTTGAAAGTGACTCAAAATAAATCCCAGGTGACTTAAAATAAATTTAAAAATGAGACATATTGTGTTGAAATGTGTCCTAAATGACTCAAATTTAATTTAAAATGACTAGTAGTGCTAAAAACTACTCATAATGTGTCCAAAACAACTCAAAACCTTTTTTTAAATGAATTAAAAATTTTCAAACTGACTTAGAATGTGTCCAGAATGACTCAAGACTTCTGAAAATTACTCAAAATGAGTCTAGAGTGACTCAAAATAAATTAAAAATTATACAAATTGTGTCAAAATGTGTCCCTAATGGCTCAAAATGACTCAGAATGTGTGTAAAGCAGCTCAGGATGTGGCCAAACCGACTCAAAGTTTGTCTCAAATGACTTTTGAAAATGTCCCAAAATAAATCCAGAGTGACTCAGCATAAATAAGAAATGCTGAGTCACTCAACCCAAAAAAAGGGTAAAATCTGACACTTCTTTCTGGTTTTACAGTTTCAGGCTGATCAAATTTGGGGGATGTTTTATTTTTTTAATTCCTTCCAGACCTGCTGGCAGGTTTTTGGATCAGTCGGGTTTGTTCAGGAACGTGAACAGTTTTAACTTTTGGCTAAAACGGACGACGTCACTAAAGATGTGGTGAAACAGAGCCGACTACCGGCTACAGCATCACGTATGTAACTGGTTCTAACCTGGACGTGTCCTGATGTTTCGCCCTCCAGAGCGTCTGAAGCGGGAGGAGCAAGGCCGGCTGGAGCAGGAGAAGTGGAAGAGGAGGATGGAGAACGAGTCTCTGGAGGCCCAGGAGCAGCTCTCCGATCTGGGCATGCTGTCTGCCGAGCTGAAGGGGAGTCTGACTCAGAAGGAGAAGGAGATCACGACGCTGCAGGGCCGGTAGGATCCACAGGAACCACAGCGCTGGGCGGCGGTGGAGCTTCACGCTGGGTTTACTGATTCATGTTTGTTCGTCGTCAGGTTGGAGGAGGAAGGCGCCCGGAGGGCTGAAGCCCAGAGGGCTCTGAGGGAGGCTCTGTCCCAGGTGTCGGAGCTGAAGGAGGAGGTGGAGAACGAACGAGGGATGAGAGAAAGAGCAGAGAAACAGAGGCGAGACCTGGGAGAGGAGCTGGAGGCTCTGAGGACGGAGTTAGAAGATACGCTGGACACCACAGCCGCCCAGCAGGAGCTACGGTGAGGACGGGAGCTGGCATGAACTCAAAGGGTCCGGTTTGTGTTTGGTCTGGTCGTTAGGTGCCATACCATAATATATGTAGGGATAAAACTTTTCTAAAATGACAAAACGTGTTCAAGACGAGTCAAAAAATGAACAAAACCTTGTCCCACATGACACGAACCTGCTAAAAATGGCACAAAACATGACTCGGTCTGTGCTCAATAAGAAAAACGTGTCTAGGAGGACTAGACTTTGTCCAAAATGATTCAGTGTGGATGCTGAAAAAACGTCCAGAATGAAAAAAAATATCCAAAATGACTCGAAATTTATCCAAAATTAACAAAAACGTGTCTGAGAATACTTCAAATTCATCCCAAAATAATTCTATGTTTGTTTAAATTTGTTTAAAACTCGCTGTGGATGTTGAGGAACACAAACAAATGAACAAAATAACGTCCAAAATGACTCACAGTTTGTCGAAATGACAAAAACTTGTACAAGATAATTTTTAAAAAAAGTCAACATCTCTTCAAACTTGACTAAAATGACAAACATTTGTCCAAAAAGAAATAAAATTCTCTAAAATGAGTTAAAAATTGTCCAGAGTGATTCAGCATGAGGGTTTATTGTTGCTGTCGTGTGTTTGTTCTCGTTGTCAGAACAACAACACAGCAGAACGTCACGTCTGTTCATGTATGAATTAAAATGTCCAAGATGCAACACTGGACTCAGAATTCATCCACAGTGACTCAGAGTGGGTTAAATACAACTGTCCAACTTAAAAATGAGGATTCATTCATCAGGAAATCAGGATTCATCGTCGTCTTTATTCCACTTTTGTATTTCTTCTCCTGTTTCTCTTGTAGCTGCTGTAACTTGTGACCTGAGCTGACAATAGACAGTATTTAACAAACATTTCTGACTCAGGTCTCGTCGCGAGGCGGAGCTCAGCGACCTGCAGCGATGCGTCGAAGAGGAAACCCGGCGCCACGAAGCCCAGCTGTCAGAGCTGAGAGTGAAGCACAGCTCGGCCATCGACAACCTGCAGGAGCAGCTGGACAACAGCAAGAGGGTACGAGCGGCACCGACACTCCCTCACACGGGTCAACCAGAGCCTCGCTCACCGTCTTTGTCTCCCTCAGGCCCGCCAGTCCCTGGAGAAGGCCAAGCTGGTCCTGGAGGAGGAGCGGCAGAACCTGAGCTCGGAGCTAAAGAGCCTCCAGGCGGGCCGGACTGATAGCGAGCGTGGCAGGAAGCGGGCCGAGAGCCAGCTGCAGGAGCTGAACGCCCGGCTGGTCCAGGCCGACCGCGAGCGCGAGGAGCGCGAGGAGAGGCTGCACAAGCTGCAGGTCAGTACGGAGGCACCAGGACGAGCCGGGTCGGGAGGTCCAGATGCTATAAAACCTGGTTCAGGTCTGACAGGAGCCTCCTGGTGCAGCTCTGCTCCCAGTAGAACACCGTCTGCACTGAGCTGTGTCCAAACCCGAACTGCTGCTGGAGTTTCACGTTGGGTTACCTGAGACTGAGTTCAGCTTCACTGATCCACAACAGAACCGGTTTCATCACAGGAGCACAAAATAAATAGTTAGATCAGAATACCCAGAACATGAAATGAAAATAAGAAGTAAGAAAGCAAGCAGGACAAAAAGGATACGATACAAAGATTTCCATATGTACAGTTTACAGTTACATATAGAAATCTTTGTGTTCTCTTTTCTTCTAATTATTTAAATCAATTAAATGAACAAATGTGTCCAAAACGGCTCAATATTCCTCTGCAGTGGCTCAACAAAGCCGTGACCAAGAGGAGTCAAACGATGTCCAAAACTAGTCAGAACCGGTCCAGAATGACTCAATCTGTATCCAAAATTATTCCATCTGTCCAAAATGCATCCGGATCGACTTCAGAGGAAAAGAAAATGGTCCAAAAGGACAGAATTTATCCAAAACAGCTCCAAACAATTTAGTCAAAATGGAAGAAAGCTGTCCAAAGTCTGGTAAATGTGTCCAAAGAAATGTCCAACAATGACTAAAATCTGTCCAAAGTAACTAAACATGTGTCATAAATCACTAAATGTTCCTCTGCAGTGACAGTGCTGTGTCCAAGAGGAGTCAAAGTTTGTCAATACTTGTCCAAAATGACAAGAATGTGTCCAGGATGACTTTAGACGTTTCCAAAATGAAAACAGAAAATGTCCATAATGACAGAATTAATCCAAAAACTGTTCACAATTTATCCATCGTATTTTAATATTGATCTGAAATGAAGCACAATTTGTTCAAAATAAAAGAAAGCTGCCTAACAGCTGGTGAATGTGTCCTGATGATGAGTAACCGGACATTCAGCCCTCGGCCCCGACTGCCCGACCCAGAGGGACGAATTCACCTTACTGTGGGTCATTTATCCTTAATGACTCTGACTTTGTCATAAAGCCGCCAGCTACGGCTCCAGAACCTTCTGATCCTCCCTGGTGGTACACCTTGAACTGAGCTGTTACCTGTTCATCAGGCCATGAAGGCTCTCTGTGTTCTAACCGTCTGAGACTCTGTCCTGTTTCCGTTCATGAACCTGAAACCTCCTTCGTCTCTTCCAGTGTGAGATCGAGTCTCTGTCCGGCAACCTGTCGTCCTCCGACTCCAAAACTCTCCGTCTCTCTAAAGAAGTGAGCAGCTTGGAGGGCCAGCTGCACGACGCCAAGGTAACGGACCTGGAGGGTTTGGTCGGCTAGCCGCCGGGTCACAGACGCGTCACCTTCATGCGGTTGTGTTTGGTTGTGCTGCAGGAGCTGCTGCAGGATGAAACCCGGCAGAAAATGGCTCTGAGCTCCAGAGTCCGAGCTCTGGAGGAGGAGAAGAACGGCCTGATGGAGAGGCTGGAGGAGGAGGAGGAGCGCGCCAAAGAGCTGAACCGGCAGATCCAGACCCTGACCCAGCAGGTCCGCCACAGGCTTGTTAACTCCACTAGTTCATATTGTTCCATACAAGTCACAGAACACGTGTACAAGACGCATACATACAATCATCACATTTAAATTCCTCATGTTTATCCCTCTGAAGCCCAAAACCACCAGCAAGGTTCAAAAGACGCCTTTTAAATAATCATCACAATTACATCATTTATCAGAACCAGAACCTGGATAAACACAAACATTTACTGGATTTTCTAACATTTGTTGAAACAACCACACAGTTCCTGCAGGAAAATTATCCAAATATGAGCAATTTTCAGCAAAATTGCTTCATTCTGCATTTAGAAATGCGTCCAAAACGACTTTGTCTGTCTCAAATGACAAAAACATGTCCTAGATGACTCGTAAATGTCCAGAATGAAACCAGAACTGACCTAAAATGACTCAATGTTTGTCCAAAATGACAAAAACATATCCTAGATGACTCGTAAATGTCCAGAATGAAACCAGAACTGACCTAAAATGACTCAATGTTTGTCCAAAATGACAAAAACATATCCTAGATGAGTCAGAAATGTCCAGAAATTACTTAATGTTTGTCTGAAATGACCAGAAATTCATCCAAAATCTGATCAAAATGACAAAAACGTGTCTAAAGACGACTCAAAATCTGTTCAAAATGGAAGAAAAACTCACCAAAACTACTCAAAATGTGTCTAAGACGAGTCATAAATGTCCCAAATGAAAATCAAACTGGCCTGAGATGAGTCAGTATTTCTCCAAAATGATCCAAAATTACTCGGTCTGATCAAAGTGACAAAAACGTGTCCAGAGACGACTCAAAATCTGTTCGAAATGAGAGAAAAACTCATCCAGAATTACTCAGTCAGTCCGAAGTGACAAAAGTGTGTTCAAGATGAGTCAAATGTCCAAAATGAAAACAAAACTGATGTAAAATGACTCAATAAAATGACAAAAACATACCCAAGATGATTCAAAAATGTCCAGAAATTACTTAATGTTTGTCTGAAATGACCAGAAATTCATCCAAAATCTGATCAAAATGACAAAAACGTGTCCAAAGACGACTCAAAATCTGTTCAAAATGGAAGAAAAACTCACCAAAACTACTCAAAATGTGTCTAAGATGAGTCATAAATGTCCCAAATGAAAATCAAACTGGCCTGAGATGAGTCAGAATTGGTCTACGATGACTCGGACTGTGTCTCAGTGCCCAGAAGACCCGTCTGAGTTCCTTCCTTTGGGTTCAGAGGGTTGAAGGACTTCCTCAGAATGCTGTTTTGATAAACTCGTAACCAACGCCTGTGCTGGACGTCCACAGCTGGCGGAGCTCCGTAAGCAGTCGGAGGAGGTGAACACGGCGGTGGAGGTCGGCGAGGAGACCCGCAGGAAGCTGCAGAGGGAGCTGGACAGCGCCACCCAGAGGGAGCGGCAGAAGGAGGAGGAGAAGGAGCGGGTGGAGCGGCAGAGGGAGCGGCTGAGGGAGGAGATCGAGGACATGACGCTGGCCCTGCAGAGGGAGAGGCAGAACTGCACGGCGCTGGAGAAGAGGCAGAAGAAGTTCGACCAGGTGAGACACCAGGTGGTCTGCAGGGAGGAAGTCAGCAGCAGCAGCTGAGTGATTCTGCAGGAGAACTTGTCATCCATCAAACCTCCACCCACGTTTTAGTCATAAACTATTTGTCATGTTTTCTGTGAAATCGAACATGTTGAGGTTGTTTGTTTTAAATCAGCAGGTTTATCATCACGTTTAATCTGAGTCTGTCTGAACAACAACATCTGAGGAACGATTAAAGATCAAACCTGACTGTAGGATATATGTCCAGACACATTATACGTGATGTGAAGAAAGTGTTTGAGGCAGATTAAATGCAGAATCTCGTCTCCTCCAGTGTCTGGCGGAGGAGAAGGCCGTGAGCGCTCGGCTGGCCGAGGAGAGAGACCGGGCCGAAGCCGACAGCCGCGAGAAGGAGACCAGATACCTGGCGTTGTCCCGAGCCCTGCAGGTAATCCGTCCACAGGTGAGTGTTCGCCCTGAGTCTGTGACGGCGGTGTTTAACCTCCTGGCTTTGTGTGTTCAGGAGGCCCAGGACCAACGGGAGGAGCTGGAGAGGAGCAACAAGCAGCTCCGAGCAGAGATGGAGCAGCTCGTCAACCAGCAGGACGACGTCGGCAAGAACGTGAGAATAGATGCTTTTATTTTTTGTCCAAGTTGTCCGAAATGACTCAGAATTCATCCACAGCAGCCCGTAGTCTGTCTGTAATCATCCAGTATTTATACAAGATGACTGGAGGCTGCTCAGAATGGAAGGAGGTCGTCTAACATCTGTAGAATCTGTCCAAATTGACCAAAACAAATAATGACAAAGATGAATCTAAAATGTTGTGGAATGTTTGTCCAAAATGATTTAATCCGTCCAGAACGCCCAACATGTGCTCAGGTTGACTCAACACGTGACCAGAAGGGACTCGATCTGTCCACAGTGACAGCAGCGGGTCCAACAGGACTCAAATGTCCAAAATGACTCAGAATTCATCCAAAGTGACTCAGTTTGTCCAAAATGACAAAACGTTTCAGCACAAAGACAAGAATCAGCCTCCTGACACTGTTTTTATTCCTCTGAGTCCTCAGTGAGTCGCAGCTTCTTTTCTACATCAGGTCCACGAGCTGGAACGAACCCGGCGGAGCCTCGAGACCGAAGCCCAGAACCTGCGGGTCCAGACCCAGGAGCTGGAGGAGGAGCTGTCGGAGGCGGAGAACTCCCGGCTGAGGCTGGAGGTCACCCTGCAGGCGCTGAAGGCCCAGTTCGAGAGGGAGATCAGCAGCAGCGAGGAGAAGGGCGAGGAGAAGAGGAGGGCGCTCAGCAAGCAGGTATGGCAGCGCGGCAGGAAGCAGACAACATGGCCGCCGGGCCGCGCCCAGGTGACTCAGGTGTTCCTCTGCAGGTGAGGGAGCTGGAGATCCAGCTGGAGGAGGAGAGGACTCAGCGCTCGCAGGCCGTCTCCTCCAGGAAGCAGCTGGAGGCGGAGCTGCAGGAGTCCGAAGCCCAGGTGGAGGCGACCAGCCGGGGCAAAGAAGAGGCCGTGAAGCAGCTGAGGAGGCTGCAGGTAGGACAGGAACCGTCCCACACAGGTAAACATCCAGCTTCTGGGCCCGTCTGGTGTTAAAACGCCTCTTCACTCATCGCAGGGTCAGATGAAGGAGATTCTGCGAGAGCTGGATGAGACCAAACTGTCGCGGGACGAAATCATCGCTCAGTCGAAGGACAGCGAGAAGAAGATCCAAACGCTGGAGGCAGAAGTCCTGCAGCTGACTGAGGTACGAGCTCACGTGTTCTTCTTCTCATCCAGAGCAGGTCGACCAAACATCGATCCGTTCAGCAGAGTCTCCCAGGAGGACAGATAATCATGAATAAATAAGAGTTCTGGTTCCAACTGACAGCAGAACGACCAGAACAAAACACACAAACACCCAGAATGTGGAAAGTGAGACACAAAATTAGAAAAACTAAATACAAACAACAAGACACCAAACACGGGGAGCTACAACCACAGCAAAATGTGAAACTTAAAGAAATGAGACTTAAATGCAAAAAAATCAGACACGGAACAAAAAAAACGACCGAAAACAAAAACTGATTCCAGCTGCTCGTGTTTCGTTCCTTCTGTGAAAGATTCAACTAGTTTAGAAAAGAACCTTGTTCAGCTTAAAGATGTCTGTTTGGTTCAAACCTGAGGTCCACGTGAAGCTGAATCAGGCAGAAGCTCTCAAACTGAACATCTGTAGATCCATGAAGGAGGACGAGGAGTCCAGAAACCGACCAGGAGCTGAGAGCAGGAACTAAATAATCCTACGACCTGCTTTACAAGAAAGACCGTTTCCTACAGACCGGTCATCACACATGACAACTCATAATAATAGTGTTTTCTGGTCAAATAAAATGACCTTTCATTGCTCGACGTGTATTTTTTACTTTATCTTCTGTCTCAGCATCGAGTCTCTTCCTAAAGAAGTTTGATTTTTAGTCAAGTTCAGGAAACGAGCACAGTTCTGGCCATTTTTCAAAATAAAACATGCTGATAAATAAAATGTCAATAAAACGTTTTTATTCTCTCTGTGCGGCCCGGTACTGGTCCGCGGCCCGCTGGGTGGCTCCGCTGCTGCAGAACACAGTCTGAGGTTTGTTCTCTGACTCTCCGTTGGTTTGTGGTCGTGCAGGAGCTGTCGGTGTCGGAGCGCCACAAGCGGCAGGCCCAGCAGGAGAGGGACGAGATGGCCGACGAGATGGTCAACAGCAGCTCTGGAAAGTCAGTGTCAGACCCGGTTCGTCGTGCTGATGGCAGGTTTGTGGGTCGGTTCTGGCTGACGTTGTGCGTCTGTGCAGGAACGCTCTGTGTGAGGAGAAGCGACGGCTGGAGGCCCGAGTCAGTCAGCTGGAGGAGGAGCTGGAGGAGGAGCAGAGCAACTCTGAGCTGCTGGCGGAGCGGCAGCGCAAGACCACGCTGCAGGTACACAACTATATATACAACTATAGAGACCACGCTGCACGTACACAACTATGTATACACAATATATACACAACTATATACACAACTATATACACAGCTATAGAGACCACGCTGCAGGTACACAACTATGTACACAATATATACACAACTATATATACACACTATATACACAACTATATACACACAACTGTAGAGACGACGCTGCAGGTACACAACTGACTACACAGCTATAGACAGGACGCTGAACCCTCTGTGTTCTGGTTCTGCTGCAGGCGGAGACCCTGACGGTGCAGCTCCAGGGGGAGCGGACTCTGGCCCAGAAGGCCGAGGCGGCCCGCGAGCAGCTGGAGAGGCAGAACAAGGAGCTGAAGACCCGGCTGGGCGAGCTGGAGGGGGCAGTGAGGGGCAAACACCGGCTCAGCGTCGCCGCCCTGGAGGCCAAGATCGACTCCATGGAGGAGCAGCTGGAGCAGGAGAGACAGTGAGACACTCAGAACATCTGATCAGAGACCAGCTCTGATTCCAACATGAACTTTATTGTTTTTCTGAATGTATCTCCACCAGCTGGCTCCTCTGGCCTCTGGTTCTGATCCGTTTCATTCATTGATCCAGGAGGTTGGATGCTCCTCTCAGCCTCTCAGAGGAAACTCTGGCTGCAGTTACAACTTCTCTGATTTTCTGTCACCAGACTGTCGGTCTGAGCCCAGTCAGTCGTGGCTTTTCGGTTGCACAGAGGAACTCAGAGTTTTCAGTTTTTAACAGAAAACACTTTATTTTTATCCTGTTTTTAGACGTGGCTCAGCGGCAGTGAGACAGAAACGTTGGAGGTTTTAAATCGCTCAGTAAACGCTGATCAGTCGGGATGCCGACAGTTTTAAATTGAGTTCATTTGTGTTTTCAGGGAACGAGCCATCGCCAACAAGCTGGTGAGGAAGACGGAGAAGAAGCTGAAGGAGGTGATGATGCAGGCGGAGGACGAGCGGAGGCATGCCGACCAGTACAGGGAGCAGGTGAGCAAACCACAGCTCCCAGTGAGCAAACCACAGCTCCCAGTGAGCAGCCAGCTGCAGGTCGGTCATCAGCTAATGGATGAAGTCAGCGTCCAGAACTCATCCTGGACGATTATCCGGCTCAGTCAGAGTAATCCTAATCCCGCATCTGTTGGCTCTATGGGAAGTTAGAGACACCGACTCTCCCCCAAAACAGCGTTAATCTGCCTGCTGATCCCGCCGACGCTAATCTGTGCCTCTGAAACCTGCAGCTGGACAAGTCGATGGGACGCCTGAAGCAGCTGAAGCGGCAGCTGGAGGAGGTGGAGGAGGAGAACTCGCGCTCCAACGCCCAGAAGAGGAAGCTGCAGAGGGAGCTGGAGGAGCTGACGGACAGCAGCCAGAGCATGACGCGGGAGATCACGTCGCTGCGCAGCCAGCTCAGGTAGGGGGCGGCCACTGAGCGCGCTCAGAAGCTCACCTGCATCATTCCGTGTCCCGTTTTAACTCGTTTGATTTGTTTTTGCTTTTTGCTCTTTGGTTGCGTCCGTCTAACATCCCATCTGTCTGCGTCACGCCAACACTCAGCGTCCCTGAATGGAGGCCAGACAAGTAGGTCGCCGTGTGTGTGTGTGTGTGTGTGTGTGTGTGTGTCTGTGTGTGTGTGTTACTGTCGCTGCGTTGTGTGTTCGTTCTTATTGGTTGGCTTTTATTTCCCATCTTCATCCACTTTAAACTAATGTTTCTGTGATTTAGGTGAAAAACTTCATGACTTGGTAAAAGCTAAATGTCTGCACAGTAAATACGCAGCTGCAGC